TAAATAACACAAATTTTCTTCTTTAAAGCATCTGCAAAAGTAAAGTGTGTCCTTCCAAGTGAAGAAAAGGAGAAAATGGTGATATTTTGGATACTCTTAGGCCAATCTCTCCCTTATCTCTATTCTAGCGCGCGCGGACATTACTCTACTCTAAGTGTAGAGTTAAACATTCATCTCTAGTCATTATCTCTACATTTTATTCTACATTAAATATATTATTTTTTATTCATTTTTTATTAAAAATAAATTGGTATATATATATATAATTAATCTTATATAAATATTATATAAAGTTTTAATTTTAGTGAAATCTACTTGTTTGAATGTGTTAATTTTTATTCGTATATACGGTACCATTTATTATTAAAAAATTTAAAATAAAATTATAATACATCAATAAATACAAAGTACAAAATTATTTAGCATAAAAAATACATTGTACAAAATTATTTAACATAAAAATACATTTATTAATACACATTATACAAAAATTTATTATTAATATTACATTAAAAAAATAAAAAAAATATATATATGTAGCCCTGCTACAGTGTTGCACTAAATCTGGCGCAACACTGTTCACCTATGTGTTGTAGCGCAGGATTTCAACACAGGATTGGAGCATATATTTTACGTTACTCCAGCGTTTTGCTCCATTCTAGAGCAGCGCTGGAGTTGGTCTTATAGTTTGCATGGATGGGAGCAAATTAAAACAAAGGCAACAAAATATGGCTGCTTTCGAATTGGAATCATATGGTCCAATAACATAAAGGATAACATAAATTAAATTTGATACAATTATATAGTATTATTTTATTCATCATTTATTTATGTCAAAATACGTAGCTTTATTCTTTGAATATTAATCAAACACAAAGCTAGCTTTATTAAAGTAATCCCATAATTAATTAAAGTTCACTTTGCAATTCAACAAAGTGCAAATGAGGCACCCGGGACCGTGATTAAAGTTGATTAAAAGGTTCTAATGAATATAGGGAAAAAGA